GGGGGGGGGGGGGGGGGGGGGGCAAGGGCAACCTATGTCTATTACGAAAGATGGGGGTTGGACGATTTCTTACTAAATTGACCAAATGAAAGATGTGTACTATTTCCTAAGCAGGCAGGCTAACCCCTAAGGAACCTTAGAATGAACCCTACCTGTCTATCAAAAAATGGGATTGGAGGGCCATTATAAAAGAAAATAAATGTAATGAGAAATATAATAAATTGCATTCAACAGCAAAAGACTACGCCAAAAAAGGGGGCAGGATACTACTCCCAAAACAGCGAAAACTATACAGAAGATTACCCAACATTTGGTGTTAACAAGAAAAAGTATACAGTTGCACGTATACTATAATAAAATTATGAAATGCTACACAGCCAAACCTTCAGAGGTGGAAAATGAATAGGTTGTGATGGGTTGGCTAAATCCCATATGCAGATTTCACCATCATCAGCACCGGATGCAAGCAAGTTTGGTGTAATTGTATTAAATTCTAAACCACGCACCTACATGAGGAAAATACTAGAGCTCTCAGCGTGCGAAAAATGGTACAACAGTAATATTAGAGTAGCCATGTACTCGAGTGAGCATTTCAGAACTTTTGAAAACTTACAGGCCCTTTATGCCTTGATAGATGTCCAACTAGAGGAGTTTCACCTGCCTCAGGACTGAAAATAAAGGTGAAAAGGAGTCAAGCCTACAAAGCATTAAAGAAAGTAACACCCTGAGAATAATAGGGTGATTGTAAAATTAAACTAGAAAACTGTATCTAGTACAAATATACTCTTTTCAGAGGATGAGGAAAGGAAACTTCATTGTCATTTTTCAAAAGGTGGGCTTAATCGTAACTCTTTGATACGGTTCTCAAAATGAGATTCGGGGATTTCTGTGGACAGTCAATCATAAGAAATTTTTGTAAGCACTTATTAGCAAGCTTCTTGACCAATCTACAAATATCAACTTTAAACCACTTTCAGATCTAATTTGATATTATGAACATTATGGAAACCTTCCAATCCATCCACCTACCCAGGGTCCAAATAGACAATTAAACCAACATAGAAACTTAAAGCAATACAGGCAAATCATTACGTCAATTTGATTGTTCGTAATTAATCAATTCTCACGCTACACACTTCTGCTAAAAAAAATTCAACTAATTCTTCATAGAACACTCAGAAGGGGTAAAAGAAACCAAACTCGTTAAGCCAACTGCAGTTAAATTACAACAATTGGTTTGAAGCCAACTCCCCGAATAATAAGCACCCGCTCACTAAGAACTTATAAACTCTACTTCCCCCATTTACCAGCAACGGAAAGCACTTGGGCACAAATACAATCCAAATTCTTACAAACATATTGATCCACGAAAAATGCAAAACCAAAGTCCAATTACCGGATCAGCGCAAGGGGGTTCCATATATCAATGTTCCCATCGACGAGTCCACCGGCAATGAGACCTAGAGAAAATTGTTCAGAGCCCGATCCATTCTTACCCCAGGAGAGGCGATTGAAGCGTTCGGAGCTCGGAGTATCCCCAATTACAGGAAGGTCCTTGTCATCCGACTGGAAATCGAGCTTGAAGATCTCGAGATTGGCGGACGAGCTGAATGACAAATCCACAGCACCCGCCATCGTCCCGGCGGCCATGTACGGCCCGTCCGGTGCTATAGCAACGAACGCCGATCGATTCACTCCCTTTATACACGCCATTGAAAACCCAAACTACCAAAAACCCAAGAAAATAAAAACAAAACAAACTACACCCAATTGAATTGTATCACCAATCTACAATTACAACCATAAGAAATGGAGAAGAAAAGATCGGCGGATCTGGGGAAATTTTCAGAAATTTTCTTTTTGAGGAGTGTATGAGAATTGAGGGTTGTCGAGATGGGGGAGTAGTTTCGATCTGATCTGTGAAATGCAAGTGAAAGTGAGAGACTCGCAATTCTCTCTCTCTCTCTCTCTCTCTCGAAAATCTCAAACGAAAAAATGAAAAGTGAAAAAAATGGGATTTTGAAGCTTTTATTTTTTGCCTTTCCCGGGAGTTCAATTAGCGGGTTTGAGGAGCTTTGATTCTCTGTAAAATGGAACACTAGGGTTTATGTTAGTCAACGTTTTGTAAAGACGACTCTCTCGTCGTTTGTCCAATGGGAATACGACTCGTTCATAGGGTGGAGCCCTTTGGGCTTTTTGGGCCCAATGAGATCCGTTGGTCGGAGAGATAACATATGGGCTTTTTCACAATGGGCCCATTATCAAATTTGAGACACCTTGTATTAGGCCTTTTGAGCCCAATGAGATCCGTTGGTTGGAGAGATAACATATGGGCTTTTTCACAATTTGAGACACCTTGCATTTGGGCTTTTTGGGCCCAATGAGATCCGTTGGTTTGAGAGATAACATATGGGGCTTTCCACAATGGGCCCATTATCAAATTTGAGACGTCTTGTATTTGGGCTTTTGGGCCCAATGATATCCGTTGGTTGAAGAGATAACATATGGGCCTTTTCACAATGGGCCCATTATCAAATTTGAGACACCTTGTAATTTGTATGTGGCTACAACTGTGGGCCAAAACTAAGCCCATAATTGTACCTTTTATTTTATTTTTTTCCTGAAGTTAATGATTGTCTCTTGTACATTAAGTTGATCTCGAATTCATGTCACATGGAGTCGTTAGTTGTTATAAGGCGGAGAATTAAACCCTAACGCAAAGTGGCGAGAAACTCAATGCCACTATTCTTGAACAACTTGGAATTGGGTCTTCCTTCTTTTCGCACTATTACGGATACGAAAATGAAAATAATGGGCAAAATTGGATTCAATTGTCAACTGCTCCTATCGTAAATAGGATTGACTACGGATTCGAGCCATAGCACACGGTTTTATACCTAATATCAAACCATAAATGATCGATGGGTTATTTAATCGACTATATTCTCATCGTCTTATAGGCTCATTTAAAATTTCAACGATAACGTATGTAAACTTTGAATTTGCTTTTATTTAATATTGATCATTCACATCATTCGTTATTAATGTTAAATGAAATGTTTGTATGTCGATGGAACATTCCACTTAAAAAAAAGTAAATAACATATTGACTATAGTCTAACATCTGTTAACCAAGGGGATGATCATGAGTTTATAATTAAAGAATACATCTCCTTTGCGGGAAAACCATGAGCTTATGCTCAAAGTGAACAATATCATACCGTTGTCGAAGATTGGGATTTCTAACATGGTATCAAAGTCATGCTCCAAACTTAGTCATGTCAATAGAATTCTCAAATATCGAACAGAGAAGCTGTGAGCCTCGAAGGTGTAGTAAAAAAGTGACACAAGTGTCGAACAAAGTATGTATTTTGTTTGAGGACTCTGAAGAAAGAAGTCAAGCCTCAATTAAAAGGACTCCATAGGCTTTAGGGGAGATTTCATGGTGTACTTTGTTCGAGGGAATGACGGTTGAAAATTGTTGGGAGGAAGTCCCACATTGTGAGCCTGAAAAAGGAATCGAGCCTCTCTATAGGTTTCAGGAGAAGCTCTATGGTGTACTTTGTTTGAGGGGAGGTGTAACAACTTAAGCCCACCGCTAGCCTAAATTAACCGATGTGGGACTTTCATCATCCAACACCTCCCCTCGAACAAAGCACGCCTCCCCTTAATCGAGGCTTGACTCCTTTGGAGTCTTAGTCATTTTTGACTGCCTTCGTACCTTCAAGGAGGCTTGACTCCTTTTTGGAGTCCTTTGTTCGACATTTGAGGATTTGCCAATCTATTGGCACGGCTAAGTTTAGGGCATAGCTCTGATACCAGGTTAGACGAACATGACTCTCCACAATGGTATGATATTGTCCACTTTGAGCATAAGCTCTCATGGCTTTGCTTTGGGCTTCCCAAAAGGCCTCAAACCAATGGAGAGTGTATTCTTAGATTATAAACCCATGACCATTCCCTAAATTAACCGATGTGGGACTTTCATCATCCAACACCTCCCCTCGAACAAAGCACGCCTCCCCTTAATCGAGGCTCGACTCCTTTGGAGTCTTAGTCATTTTTGACTGCCTTCGTACCTTCAAGGAGGCTTGACTCCTTTTTGGAGTCCTTTGTTCGACATTTGAGGATTTGCCAATCTATTGGCACGGCTAAGTTTAGGGCATAGCTCTGATACCAGGTTAGACGAACATGACTCTCCACAATGGTATGATATTGTCCACTTTGAGCATAAGCTCTCATGGCTTTGCTTTGGGCTTCCCAAAAGGCCTCAAACCAATGGAGAGTGTATTCTTAGATTATAAACCCATGACCATTCCCTAAATTAACCGATGTGGGACTTTCATCATCCAACAAATAGAATCCCAATATCATACTACTATTATGGAGAGTCATGTTCATCTAACATGATATCGAATCTCAATATCATATCATTATGAAGAGTCGTGGTCATCTAGACATAGCCAAAAAATGAATAAGACTACAAAAGAAATGGGAAGCCCAAAGCAAAACCATGAGAGCTTATATTCAATGTGGATAACTATCATACCGTGGAGAGCTCTGTTCATCAAACCGACACATAAAAAACAAGTCTTCACAAAAAAAAAAAAAAAAAAAAAAA